TTGAATCTGAAAATGATTATTACACGATTCCTTGATTAATATTGTGGATTTTCTCAAAGGCAAAGATTTAAACAAAGATACAATTTGATTCTATATTTTTTCACACGTAAAGTAACTAGTTATTATGGATAATTTATTTAAAATTAGTTAATTTTGAAAAAAAGATTTGAAATTCGTTTTCCTTGAAAACGAAGCCTCAAAGATTTTCATTCTATATTTTTCACTTATCTTTCCTTATCTTTTTCAGTTATATTACAAGAAACTTTGCATAGTACTAATACATGTATATTAGCTCATCTCAATTGACCGATTACTGAAAGTCGAACGATTTCTACTATTTCTACGCTATCCAATTATGGAGAAAGGCAATAATTGAAGAAAAATGATGAAAAATATGAAACGAGCTTTTTTTCCATATTTTTAGATTACTTGTTAACATTTTGCATCTTGCTTTTACATTAAATAATAAAATATATTTTGTATCAATTTATGATTCGAATGGATTCTTCGCTTAAGTACTTTTTCAAATTACATTTGAATTAAAAAAAATTAACGTAGGCATATTAACGAGCCATCTTTATCCATCATGTTCGAAATTGGTTACTTTAAGTAATATTTAAAATACTCGAATAGTATTCCTTTGTTGCTATCACAATTAATTATGGTTATTTGAATAATACTTTGAATAACAAATTGTTCGAGTAATTGTTATTAAAATTTTGCCTATCACTGATGCATAACGACAAATTCAATTAAATTAGCAAATTCAATTTGTCAAGTCCGAACATTTAAAATTGGATTACGAAGTACATATTGTAGAAATATATTATGAAAACGTGAAATACGTGATTAGTGATAGGAAGGAAGTTGCCTCTCGCGATACTTTCGAGAATTTAATTTGTGATCAGTCAGCAGGAAACCATTATCGTGCAAGAAACGTTAGTTGCATCAAGTTTCTGACGAGGTTCAACATTTTCTGACTGGGCGAAAGAGAGAAGGCCTCCTCCAAGTGACAACTTTCTAGAATATCGGTGAACGTAATGAAAGGAATGGCTACCGACCAGCTTCTGGTTGCAATTCAACACTGGATCGAATAAACGCTCGCTCTTCCATTCAATGCTATCATTTGATCGAGCATTAGCTTCACGAGAAAGTTAGTCACTACTTCGTGTTTTTGCGTTTGAATATTCGTTTCTTCACTCGCATTCAGATTATTCCATTTAGATTCGTTTATATAAGTTCAACATATTTATTTTAAATACGTATAAATCGCATAATGCTGTACTGTTTCTTAAAACGAAATTAACGTATCTCTTGAAATTTTTCATTTCTCACTCTGCACATCCATTCTTCACCATCCAATTCTGATTCTTATTTATTTATATTTCACAGAAATTAATCTCATTATATAATAAAGTTTGATGATGAAAATTATACAATTTTCTCTCCTGCTGGAATAGAGAATGCTGCCAGAGGAATAAAAATATAACGAAAAAATTAGAATCTGTTGATAAAATTTTCCAATATTTTAAATAATTCCAAAATTAAAAAATTTAATTTCTTAATCACTTACGTTATCCTTTCCGTGCCATTAACCATCCATCGAAATCCATCCATGCAAACGCATCATGCATATCTATTTCAATTTTACTTTCGAGCCGAGGTCGAAGAATTGGGCCACCTCGTAGAAACATATATTTCCAAAGTGCATATTTCGCGAGGAAAAGGAAATCGATTGGATTTCGCGATATTTTATGCGAAAGAAGTGGGGATACGAGGAAGAAATCGGTGTACTGCGACTAAAAAAGAGAAGAAAAAGATGGGTTCACGACCACAGGCTTTCTTTAGAAATCCCTTTCCTACGAACCGCCTATCAATTAGCGGCCCATTATGACGGGTAATCATCGCAGTTAAGCGATTATTGCACACTGTCAGAGTTTCGCATCGCAGGATACACGTTCTCGATAATGTAGATTCATTCGTGTTCACCGCTTCATGATTTCATCGCTTCGAATCTTTTTTCCAAAAGGTACACACCACTTTTCGATTTTGCGCTGTTTCTTAATTAAATATCACTGATTCTCATCGGTGTATTTCAATTGTTTTAATGAGAATATTTTTCCTACTTGCGTGAAAGTAAGAATTTTAATCACGAGTATTGAATTCTTCATATATATATATATATATATATGTATGAATAAATATTATTTTATAAATCTGAAATAGTGAAACTAATTGATCATTGAAAAAAAGTGTACAGAATCGTATGAAATTGTTGAAATTTTTATCTAAGAGAACATTTCATCTAACCTAACCTATATAACCTATATAATGTTATGTTAAAAATGATCTAATACCTGATCTGAATACAAACGTAGATGTAAATAATTTAAATAATGGTTGCACGTGCAGAAAAAGTGAAATTTAGAAGATTCTGTAATTCTGTGAAATTCCGTGTGAATTTCCTATCGGTGTGTATAAACGTGTTAATAATGGAGAAATACGGTGCACGATGCCGAGATAGGCATGAAAATCGTTGTTGATAATTGATAAGGAGCAGTTTCTATCGTCAAAGTGATGCAGCATGCGAACACAATGGTTTGAGCACGAACAACGAGTAACAATACAGTTAGTTTGCAGAGAGAAAATCTTTTTAGAGAACGTTCACCTTGTTGCCGGTGCGTGCAACGGGGCAACCCACTTTCCGTTGCGCCGTGTATAACCTTTCCATCGAGAAAATAAAGCGCAGCATCTTCTCTGGATACTTTCATATCCATTGTGCACCGTTCAAAACTCATCGGGATGGAAAGAAAAGGATAATTTTGATCAACGGAAAATGAAAAGATAAGTATATGTAACTTACTCAAAAATTTAACAACACTCTAACCAATATTGGAATATCCATCGTCGTTAATATCATGTTTGAACTTTGATGAAATAGGCGAAATTTCATGACCAATTAACACGAAATTAATCGTTAAATTATCGATGTCAACTTTCAATATACATTTGCGAAATGGCATTCAGATTCTTCTCAAGTCACTGGTGAAACAGAAAATTAAAATTAACATTGATTATTGGCAGAGAATCGAGTAAATATACATGGTACGTATGTATGCATGTATACGTATATACATAACCTTTTCTGAAAACTTTCACTTGTTAGCAGGAAAAGAGAATAGACGCTAATACTCAGAGGTATGGTATTTAACTTTCAACACATGATTGATTAATTAGCATGTGCAAATTTTCTCTCTTTCGAGTCGTATTTGTGAACAATGCGATATGAAAAGAAAAGAGAAAAATAGAAGATTCCGCGGCAAAATTTTAAAGAAAATTGTTTAAAAATAGTAAAATTCCGTAAAATGTCCGAAATCTGCAATAAATCATATTTTTGATATTCATTTTGTAAATTCATTTAAATTTGTAAATGTTAAAATATTATAAGATGGATATAGTTTTCGGTTCGTTTAAGACAGTTGATAGGAAGTAAATTTATTAGAATTAGAATGACATTCTAAAAATGTAATTATATTTATGCGATTTTGCAAAATCGAATGCAAAATAACTATAAAATAAAAATTGAGTGAAAAATTAATGAAATTACGTATTTATTTAGATTAAGTATAATTTGAAAATAAAAACATACAAAAATTCCTTGAATAAGTAGAAATTATATAAGCATCCAATTTGTAAACCAAATTATAAAATTAAAATTCTTAAATAATTTTTTTCTGAATCCAAATATTATTTCCTTTCATAATTTTCATCAATATATAACAAAAAAACAAAACAAATATTTTTCAAAAAATTATTATCCGTTTCTCAAGATATATTACTTAATCATCAATATTTACTTAATCATCGTACAAACAATAAATTAAATCTCGTTAATTAATTTTTTATATCACGAATAATTTTATATTTTGCTACTTTGAAATTAATTTTTTTCCCTCTATAATTTCAATATCGTTTAAAAAAGTCAAAGTCAAAACGGAAAAAAGAATAGTTTTCACAAAAATAATTTGTACTTAAAAAAAAAAACGCTTATTTTTAGATTTCGCGATTACTAACACTTGTTACACCTTCCGTATCTTTCAATCTATTTTTTTTTTTTTTCTTTTTAAAGTATGGCCAAAAGAACGTCAGTCGAAGTTGCTCGACCGGTCCCATTATGGAACCTAAATGGAAATTTTCTACAAGTTTCATTTAAATCGATGATGATCGTCGTCCTTGCCTCGTACACGCAAGAGTTTTTGCTCGCTCCGATTGGTCCGAGAACGTCCTCATTTTAACACCGTAACACGTGTACTTTTTATCACGTGTGTTAATAATAATCACCTCGTTTTCAATGTTCAACCTCGAGAAATTATGGCGCGCGGCCATTTAAAGCGATTAAAGAGCGTGTAAAATTAGAATAATAATCTGATCTTAATTTAATAATAAATCTTTACATACGAATGCTAAATACGATTAATCGTTATTAATCATTATTATACTATAATATCTAAATTGTTTTCTTTCTAAATTTTAAAAAAAGCTTCTTTTTATATCTTTTAATATATACCTTATTTTTTCCATCTTCAACTTTTGAAGAAATAAAAATTCAAACCAATTTCGTCGGACGTTCGAGTTGAACGATCATCCATAAATCCTTGAAACGGAACGATTTGCTAGTGGAAAAAAGCAAAAAAGGTGATTTCCTGTTTCGCGTTAAAATCATTTGTACATCAAAGGAACGTAACCCGAATTACGTAATCCTTCGTTTGCTGTTCTCCTTGAACGCAGTTCCTAGCACCGGTGAGCACCGTTTCTGTATGCGTTTCGTTCACCGCGTTTTACTCGCCTCTTTTCTTCACGATGGAGAATTAATTATCCTTTCCTTCCTACCGATATATTCTCCGTGTCGTCTTTTCACTGCATAGTATTTACTCTATTGAGAAGCGTCTCCCAGCAATTTATGAGCGAGGAGAGCGCATGCGCGAACACAAGTGCGCAGACGCGTCCTTACAACGATTAATCGATATCAAGCATTGAAATCTCCGACGATCGATCGAACGCGCGATATTGAATAATCGAATCTCGTCGCGCTCCATTAATTCAAACACCGTTTCCAAGAATAGTCAAACCTTGATTACTTAAGATTTAAATATTATTATTATTTACTCGTATAAATTATTGCAACGATATCTTCTCAAGAAACCAGTTTCCTATTTTATTTATTTCATTGTCAATCAGTGCTATTTTGAACTATTCTTGAAACTCATTATCACAGATTCTTCTAGATACAATTTCTAATCTCTAGTTTACGAGATGACTCAAGCATTATACTTGTCCCCATTTTAATAGCAATTAAACGTCGATCAAACGCAATAAAATTGTAAAAGAGATATATAGTATAATGATCTAAAAGGAATAATCAAACTTGGAACTCGATTCGAGCAATGACAAAAAATTGATGAATTTTATTTCTTAACAGTTATTAATCATAAACACGAGATCTGGTATAGTAAAATAAAATTTCTGGAGGCTGCATAGCAGTGCAATATAAGAAAAATAATTCCACGCTTTCTAGACTTCTCACTTTTTACGTTTAATCTACTCTATTAATAATCTCCTAATCGACTATTATTTTCACGAATATTATAAAAGTGATGATATAAAAATGAATCGAAAAGCGTGGCCTATTAAAAAGTCAAGGAAAAAATTTTCTTTGCAAAGCATTAACAATCAAGTGCATAAGTACGCGTGTATAAATTATAAAACTTGTTACAAATCTTCTTACTCATCATCCTGTTATCTTCTATACTTTCCAAATTAAAATATACAAAACGTATCATGCTTTCTTCCCTCGTTTATTCACGAAATAAAACTATATACTGCAATCTTCACCACAAAAGAAATCATCTAATTACGATGAAATGTATTCGATCGATCGAAAAGCGTAAAATCTCGATCGAGCAACGATCGTGTTTTGCTTCAGGCTTCACGGATGAAAAAGTTCACTATAAATCATGATAAATCATCGATAGTTGCAGGTGATATACGAAGTGAATACCATAAAAAGAAGGGTGTGACCGTAGATCACATGGGCACGATCCTTTCTTTCTTTCCATCGAATGCCGTGAGAAGCGATTCTTCTTTGTTGTCTCGTCATAAAAGGCGTGTTTTCAACGTTGCATTAAAATTCATATCGGAAACTTGAACTGCCCCGAACATATTAAATACGTTAAATGCTCGAACGTATTGGCAACATGATTGGCAAGCGATTTCAAAGTGAGAATAACAATTTGTATCGCGTTTCCTCGACTCCTACGAGTAAAATTAATTAAATGTAACAAATGATCGATTAGAACGATTAAATATAATGTTATTATCGTGAACGAGAAAAACGTTCGAAGATGGATTTTTTTTTTTTTCGTAGGAAAGAAATTGTTGAAAATTAAGAAAAATTAAGAGTTAGAAGTTATGGAAGAAAATGGAAGAAAATGATTAAATTTACGATATCGTATATTTTTATATATTACAATGGAGATTATCAAATTCTCGATCTCTCGACTTTCTGCCCGATACCTATCGATTTCTTTTCATTAGTTTTTTTTTTTTTTTTTTTACCATTGAAAAACTTCTTCACAGCAGAGAAATAACCATTCCGCTTTCTCATTCCACTTTCACTTTCATTTTTTAAACATACTTTTACCTGGCTTTTGCATCTCTTGCAAAAGTTATACGATTATTCGACCGTAATATTCAATATTTCTTAAGAAATGGTTATTGAATCTAACTCGTTCGTCGTCATTTACCTCACCAATTATTAAACAAATTTTAAATCGCTAGTATTTATTATTAAATTATTCGTCAATTAAATATATTTACGTTGATCAATAATTGTAAAAACTGTAATACAAATTTCTAACGTAAATGCTGCAGAGATATCGAAGAAAACTCGATAAATTATTTATTTGTTTGAAAAGCAATAATTTTAAAATTCCTTAAATTATTATTCATCGTTTCCCATTTTCTTCGAAAATACTTCAAAAATATTAACGATCGACATTATTGTATATGAATAAATAATCATTGAATCTTGATTTTAGAATTTTCCAATTACACAAATCGCGTAAAACGATGGCCAAAATATATTTTGTAATCCGAATAGAAACAGACGGATATCTCGTTTCTTCCATTTTCTCAATCCATTTCCATCCATTCTCTCATGGAAACCTACCTGCTGTTCGAGCAATCACACTTTTTCAACCAATCCGATCTCGCGTAACAGAATTGTTCAACGTGTGCCAACGTTAATCATATTATCACGTTTCCCTCTCCGCTTTCCATTCGTAAACTGAAAACAGCTCCGCTCGACTGGAAACGATCGGTTCGAGAATCGATCGAGATCTTTTACAATCGATTTAAAATCGCGGTGAAAATTTAGAAATCTCGAAAGCTGGTACCGCTTTGAACGAGAAGTGAAACAAGACACTGCGTCGGTGACAGGCTGATTCTCATTGTGGAAGTTATATATATATATATATATATTTATTTATATTAGTTTATTAATATATTAGTATTGCGTTAGTTATATATTATACATACTCGGTCACAAAAGCATTTAATCGTTAGTTTTTAGCATACAATATTATTACTGCATCCTGTTTTTTTCCCTTAAACAATCGGATGTTCGTCGTATATGTTTATGCAAATTCGTATATTCTTACGAACAGAACGATATAATAATATTTGTTTCCATCGTTAAACACTCTGATGAATGTTTTATTTTAGGAATAAAAAAAAATGTGACTGGACGCTGTTGGAATCAAGTTAAAAATTGTTTTATTATTTGATTTTAATTCTTGCAAATGTAAAAAGTGTGATACGTTAAAAAAAAAAATTCCTAGATAAATGGATTTAAGGAGTAAAATTGATCAATAGTAATAATTAAGTAGTTATTAGTAGAAGTAATTATTTTTTTACGAGAAATTAATACAAATTAGCAATTAACGAAAAAACGATTATATTTTTTATTATTTGATTTTAATTCTTATATATTAAAAATTCCTAGATAAGTTTATTAGTTTATCAGTTAACGAATTAATTTTGAAAAAGTTAAATAATTGTTGCTAAAAGATTATTTTCTATGGGAGATTAATACAGAACTAAAAATTAACGAAAACGATTATATTTTTTATTATTTGATTTTAATTCTTGCAAATTGTAAAAAATAATAAATGTTAAAAAGATAAATTCCTAGATAAATGAATTTAACGAATTAATTTTAAAAATTAATCAATAATAATAATCAGGTAATTATATTACTAAAAGATTATTTTTCACGAGGAATTAATACAAATTAACGAGAAAAACGATTATATTCTTTATTATTTAATTTTAATTCTAATGCAAAAATGATATGTTAAAAAGAAAATTCCTGCATAAATGAATTTAACGAATTGATTTTAAAAAGGGATTTTAATTGTCACTAAAGTCCCTATGATATATATTATTCCCTATGAGAGATAATCGATATAAATCAATACCAAAAAAAACGTATCTTACACCTTTTTATCATACGATTTTAATTCTCGCAAATATATATTAAAATGAAGACTTCCTAGATAAATAAATGAATCAGTTTCTCGTTCTCCCAAGAATTAAATTGATTCTTAAAATTCTTAACAATTACGAAAGATATTATTTTTCTTTATAAGAGAATCAAATATCTTAATAACAACACCGTTTTATTTTACCTAATTTCTCCTTCGTCGACTTACCTGGACGAGAGCTTCCGGTTGCAGATGTTTCAAGAATTCAGCTTGCTGGTAAGAAACGGAAGACGGTTGCTGTTGTCTAAGCTCGGCTTGCATCGCGGCGATCGATTCAGGGGTGCAGGATGCACGGGCCTGGACCCAGGACGCCGCAAGGATGAAGCTACCGAGTACCACGGACATCGTCACCAACGTGACAGCCGCGATTCTCGCGATTTGAACCGCCGTACTTTTCGGCCTCATGTATGCCTGTAAATATGGACAAATAAACGAATTACTTCATATCGATAATAATAATGATGATCATTGAAATTTTTCTGTATATTTTTAGTATTATTTTTAAAATATATAAATAAAGTAGATTCTGTGTATCTATAAATAATATAAAAATATAATATTTCTGGAGCTTGTGTATTGATTTCGTTATTTAACATAAGATCACTTTTTTTTTTTCGATAAAAATTAAAAGAATAATCGACGAAGCCTCGAATCGGATTCGAATAAATACAATTTTTTTAAACAGAAGACGAATATGGAATATTATATGTTTATAAAATAATTATTTTTAGCGAATCAAATTTTTTTCAATAAAAATCTCGATAAAAATAGGATTTTGAAGAGAAATTTTTATTTCGTGAAAAAGCTTGAAGAAATTTTTTAATAATCTTCTTTAAAAAAAAAAAAAAATGGGAAATGTGATCGTACAGCTTATTAACATCCACAAAATAATTATTTTTTTAAAATAAAAAAATGAGGAAAATGAGAAAATTACAATATTCCTTCGATATTTTGTTTTAACAAGTAACAATTGGAAAAGATATAACGAGATCTCTTGCAATCTCAGAATCTAATTACTCGAGATTTTCAATCGTTGTTCTCGTCGTATTCTATTTTATGCTAATCAAACGTGTGCACGTTATAACGCGATTATATCGCGAGCGTTGCGTTCACGCGGCCATAGATGAAGAAAGGAATGGCTAAACTTGACTTCCGTGATGATCTCACTACGTTGAAATAAGCCAGTGGCATAAATTTAATTACCATACTTCTATCAAGGTATTTCTAATCCTCTTATTCCCATTGTTAGCTTTTTCTACCTATATATATATATATATGTATATAATTCCAGAAATTTCCTATTTCGAAATCGGTTTCTACTTATTACAAATTTTAATATAATTCACATTGTTCGAACACGCAATGACATTTAAACATCCTATCTTTCTCTTTCCTTTATTTCTACTATAACAATAATATTGTAAATAAAAAAATGTTAAATAAATAATAAAATTAATTCGTAAACATTGAAGAATTTTTATTTTATTGAACGTTTGACATCTGATTCGTCTCGCTGAATTTAAAAAAAAAAAAAAAAAAACATGATTCTCAATGCACCAAGACTACGCAAATGCAAATAATGTAATTTACATAAAAACACGTAGCACAATAGAGTACGAACACAATTCTTTTCCATATATTATATCTTTTATCCCTTATCTTTTATCTTTTTGAGACCAATATATCATTGATTATGAAAAATATATATATATATCTGAATCACAAATCATTTTAAAAAATAACCGTTTAATAATAAACCAACAAACGTGAAACGATCGTAAAATGTTTCTCGAATTCTAAAGAAGAAGAAGAAAAAAAGAAATAAACAAAATGTAACTAGATTAAAAAACTAGATTAAATCACAAAATCATTTTTAAAATTAATATTTTCCATTCATAATAAATCCAAAAAAAAAGAAAAAAAATCAACAACTTTCTAATTCCAAGTTTCGTTTATTGATACTTCGAACAAGAACAGTTTCTACAAATATTGGATGGATCGGTTGAACACGCGTACAGATCATTAGAGGATAATGTAGTCGATGCGAAATGCGCACGCAAGCGCACAAACAGTACATGGAACTTCATGCTGGCTAGCCAACCGAGTCGAGGTCTTTTGTCGTGTTTCACGCTCTCCTTTCGCGTGGTCTCGCACCATTCCCATTTGACGGGATAATATGCAAAGTTAATCGCGGGAAAAAGTGAAATATTGGAACGGAATCGTTTTTTTTTCTTCTTCTTCTTAATCGCGTGTGTTTTCTCGTGTTTTTATGGTGGAAGTGGTCACCGTTCGTAGTATTGGGAAAAAAATTCTTCAATTTTTTTGTATTCATTTTGCAATGCTTCGTTGTGATTTTTTAATTTTACGCTGTGATCATATGTTTTGCAATAGTTTGTTATTCCGTTTTTTAATAAAGTTTAAGTTAAGTTGTAATAAGTATTAAATTTATTATCTGAAATTTGCAATTTTCCCACAGGCAAATTTAGGTTAGGTTAGCAAGTGTATTTATTATAGCAACGCTAATGTAATTGAAATTCGATTCTTTTCTTTCCTCTTCAGTTCTGCTTTGAACACTTTAGATCAATGATCCATAAGGAGATCATCGATAATAAAGTCGTGTCAGTGATTTTCTTTGATCGATTAACTCGTCCTTAATTTTTATTTTTTAATTTTTTTACTTTTTTACACGAGGAGATCGTAAATAAATTAAATATCACAAAAGAGAGTTGCTCGATTCAAAAAAAAAAAGAAAAACATTGACCTGCTTCTTCGATCTATTATGTAAATAGTCACGGATGAATATCAATATTATTTTGACATTATAGCAATAGCACTTGTTTCGATAATTAATTACTAGTGATTTCATATAAATATACTAATCAGCATATGGTAAGTCGTATTCTATGCTTATTAACTAATCTTGCAATCGCGTGAATATCTAATAAAAAATATGTATTTGGATAAATTTTGATATGCTACGCGAATAAGTTGGAAATTGATTAGAATTATAATGACACAAGATTTCATAAAACGAAACAATTTATTTTTCTTAAATCTTTCACCAATTTAGATTCTTTTGATGCACACTTATACGTACAGAACAAGAATACTCAATATTGGAAAGGACACGACACATAAATATTTAAACGCTTCTAATTTATGTGACACGTAACACGTATATAAATAAAAATAATTCTATATATATATATATATATATATATATATATTGATACAAATATAC